CAACAATGCCTTCTTAGTGCTGCTATAACAGAAACATCAAAAGTGGATGGCTTTAATGAACAGACATTTCATAGTTTAGTTTTATTGTTGTTAAGTGTCTTTGACTCGGTTCAGACTCATAGCAATCCTGTATAGGGTTTCCGAGTAGCAGCTGGTGGTTTGAACCACTAACCTTGTGGTTAGTGGTCCAGTGCTTATCCTACAGCACCATGCCTGGACTTTTTTCATAGTTTGTTGTTAAGTGCCATTGAATCATTCCAAGTCATACTCTGTATAGGGTTTTCAAGGAACAGCTGGTCAGCAGTCCAGGACATATCCTACAGTGCACACAAGGCATAGTTAAGTGCCCTCAAGTCTGTTCCAACTTAAAGCAACCGTGTATAGGGTTTCTGAGGAGCAACTGGTGAGTTTGAACAGCCAGGACTCCTTGTTTGTTTGGTCCAATCAGTTCTGATTCATAGTGACCCTGTATCAGGTTTCCAAGGAGCAGCTGGTGGGTTTGAACTGCTGACCTTGTGGTTCTCAGTACAGTGCTGATCCTAAAGCACCACACCAGGCCTCCTTAAGGAGCTAGAAATCTGTTACCAGCTCCAGGGGAAGGGTCTCTCTCTTTTGGCTCTGGGAGATCTCAGTTTCTGATAATTTCTTTGGCAATCTCACATGGCATCAGTCTTCTGTCCCTAATGTTCTGATCTCAAAAGTAATTAACTTAAGACACACCGTACACTGATAAGATGTCATGAACATAACACAGAAAAAAACCTCTATTCCCAAATGGGATTACATCAACAAATATATAGGTTAGGATTTTTTTTACTTTTTATTGTGAATTGTGTGATGGTTTATAGACAAGACCCATCAGTTTTACACTGAACAAATCATACACTTTGTTTCACCTCAATGGTTGCAATCCCCACAACCTGCCCGGAGTTCTTATTTCCATTCCACCCACCATCCCTTCTCAACTTTGTCTTTAGGTAAATGCCCTTTTGATTTTGCATGATTGACCATTCCATGAAAGCACACCTTACTAGTGTTATTGTCCCCACTATATACCTACTAATGCTTGTCCTCACATGCATCATCAAAAAGAACTTTCAAGATATTGAAGTACAACACAGTCAGTGATAAGATAATATCCATGTGTCTACAAGGAAGAGCAGTTAATAAATTATTATTCAAATTTATGTACCAACCACTAAAACCAGTGATGATGAAACTGAAGAATCTTACCAACTTCTTCAGGCTGAAATCAATCAAACACGCCATCAAGATGTATTGATAATTAAAGGCAATTGGAATGGAAAGGTTGGAAACAAAAGGAAGGAGTAGTTGGAAAATATGTTAGAGATCACACAAAAGAATTTGTAAGACCAATGACTTCATTTCAAATACCTTTTTAAAACAATATAAAAGATAACTATACCTCACGAGATGGAATATTCAGAAATCAAACTGGCTACATCTGTGGAAAGAGATGGTGGGAAAGTTTCCTATCAGCAGCCAAAACAAGGCTGGAGCACACTTGTAGAACAGACCATCAATTGCTCATATGCAAAATCAGGCTGAAGCTGAAGAAAATTAAAACAAGTCCAGGATAGCCAAAATATGACCTAGAACATATACCACCTGAATCAACAGATCATATCTAGAACAGATTTGATGCATTAGACACTAATGACCAAAGACCAGAAGAGTTGTGGGATACATCAAGAACTTCATACAGGAAGAAAGCAAAAGATCATAAGCAAGAAGGAAAAGATCAAAATGAATTTCAGAAGAGACTCTGAAACTTGCTCTGCACCATAGAGATACGAAAGCAAATGGAAGAAATGTGGATACAAAAGAGCTGAACATAAAACCTCAAAGGGCAACTCAAGAAGACCAAGTATTATAATGTAATGAGAAAGACCTGGAATTAGAATACCAAAAGAGAAAAAAAAGCTCAGCATTTCTCAAACTGAAAGAACTGAAGAAAAAAATTCAACCTTTGATTTGCAATACTGAAGAATTCTATGGGCAAAATATTGAATGATGTAGAAAGCATCAAAAAAAAAGATGGAAGGAATACACAGTCACTGTAGCAAAAAGAAACAGTTGATGTTCAACCATTTCAGGAAGTAGCATATGATCAACAGCCAATAATACTGAAAGAAGAAGTCCAAGGTACACTGAAGGCATTGGCAAAGAACAAGGCACCGGGAATAGATGGAATACAAATTGAAATCTTTCAACAAATTGATGTGGCACTGGAGGCACTCACTCATCTATGCCAAGAGATTTGGAAGACAGCTCCCTGGCCAACTGATTAGAAGAGATCTATATTTTTATGCGCATTCCAAAAAGAGGTAACCCAACAGAATGTGGAAATCATCAGACAATAATATCATTAATATTATATGCAAATGAAATTTTGCTAAAGATAATGTAAAAATAGCTGTAGCAGTACATTGGCAGGGACTCGTCAGAGGTTCAGGATGGATTCAGATGGGGAAGTGGAATGAGGGATAATCACTGTGATGAAAGATGGATCTTGGCTAAAAGCAGAGACTACCAGAAAGATGTTTATTTGTGCTTTATTGACTACAAAAAGGTTTTCAACTGTGTGGATCATTACAAGCTATGAACAATCGAAGAGAATGAGTATTCCGTAACAATTGTGTTCACGGGGAACCTGTACATAGACCAAGAGGCAGTTGTTTGAACAGAACACGAGGACAACAAATCGTTTAAAATTAGGAAAGGTGTGCACTAGGGTTGTATTTGTTTACCATACTTATTCAATCCATATGCATAAAGTTGGATTATATGAAGAAAAACATGGCATTCGGATTGGAGGAAGACTCATTAACCTGCGATATGCAGGTGTTACAACTTTGCATGCTGAAAAAGTGAAGAGGTCTTAAAATACTTACTGATGAAGATCAAAGACTAGAGTCTTTGGTCTGGGTTGCAACTCAATGTACAGAAAACAAAAATCCTCACAACTGGATCAATAAGTAACATCAAGAAAAGTAGAGAAAAAATTGAAATTGTCAAAGACTTGATTTTGCTCAGATCAACCATCAACACTCATGGAAGCAGCAGTCAAGAAATCAGATGGCATATTGCATTAAGAAAATCTACTGCATAAGGCCTCTTTAAAATGTTCAAGAGCAAAGATGTCAGTTTGAAGACTAATGTGTGCTTGACAAAAGTCATGGTATTTTCAGTAGCCTCGTATGTATGTGAAAGTTGGACAAAGAATAAGGAAGATTGTAGAATTGATGCATTTGAGTTACGGTGTTGGAGATTAAAAGCACCAAGGACTGCCAAAAGAACAAACAAATCTGTGTTAAAAGTACAACCACAATATTCCTTAGAAGCCAGGATAACTTCACCTCTCATACTTCGGACATACTATCAGATGGGACCAGTCCCTGAAGAAGGACATCAATGTTTGATAAAGTGGAGGATTATTGAAAAAGAACAAGACCCCCCAGGGAGATGGATTGGCACAGTGACAGCAGCAATGGATTCAAGAACAGTAATGACTGTGAGATTGGTGCAGGACCGGGCAGTGTTTCATTCTGTTGTGCATAAGGTCACTGAGTCAGTACTGACTTGACGGCACCTAACAAGTGCTTCACTGAAAATCGGGCCATGAGGGTGAGTTCCCTCCCAGACCTGAAGGATAGTTGAATGTTATAATTTTGAGTTTTGTTCTACATTTCCTCCCAGTCTATCTGAGACATTCTAATGTGATCCCTTTCAGAGAACCATCTAGTTCTTCTGATCTCAAGAGTCATGGGGACTGATGTTCACATGTTCCATTTGTCCACTGGACTGATTACAAGGTAGGATTTATAACATATATTTTTGGGGGCACACAATTCAATTCATAACAATGTCAGTCACCAGGAGTAGGAGCCAGGATGCCAACCCACTCCATGTGTTTGGGAATACAATGCAATGAATTCCTCTTTATATATGTCCTCTATGGCCTTGGGTTTCTAATTCTGCTGAAAACGATTGGGTTAGGCTACATTCTGTATCATGACTGGCTTCTTTTACACACCTTGCTCCCTGGATTAGTCAGTTTGTAAACAGTGATGTGTAAAGCCACCCAATAGGATTAAGTGACTTGCAAGGAGCTCTGGTAGTGTAGTCTCTCATATTTTGGACATATTGTCAGGAGGGACCAGTCGCTGGAGAAGAATATCATGTTTGGTAAGGTGGAGGGTCAGAGAAAAAGAGGAAGACCCCCAACGAGATGGAATGGCCAAGTGGCAGCATCGATGGACTCAAGTGTGGCAACAGTAGTGAGACTGGCCCAGGTTCGGGCAGTGTTTTGTTCTGCTGTGCATAAGGTCACTATGGGTAGGTGCCAACTCAATGGCAACTAACAACAGCAACAACTGTAAAGGCAGAAGTTTTGTAACATATGAAGGGGCATAGTTAGATCTTACATTCCAGGAACAGAGGATCCTAGGACCATCAAGATGGAAGAGCGTGAGCAGAACGTGAGATCCTAATTAAAGAAGAGATGCAGGCAAAGGTGCTGGCACTGAGAGAGAGCAACTGAGGATTCTAGACTCAAGGAAAGAGAAAGGTTGTGTGCTGGTAGGCAGGAGGCTGGCTTGCAAAAGGTGCCCTTTGGTTGTTTAAATGACTATATAGTCCTGGGTGTTTTTGTGTACATCAAAAAAAAAAAAAGGGGGTGGGGAGGACTAGAGGCAAATACCATTAACCAATGGTACATGAAGGAGATTATAATCATTGCAATGAAACAAAATACGATTGGTTGAGTGCAAAACCAATGTTCTTCCATGTAAACTATCACTCAATTCACAATAAAAGCTTAAAAAATATATTAACTTGCTCTTTACAAACATTTTGATTGATGTCTATCAATTTCCTTGGGGACTGCTAACTTCAAAGATGGTGGTTCAAACCCACTAGCCACTCCTCAGAAATCCTGAGTTGGAACCAACTCAACAGTACCTAACAACAACCACCTTACATTTAAGATGTTCATATTTATAAAGTGAATACTACGTATGGATTTTCTGATGTACAATAAGATTTGACTTCTGAGAAAATGCTTTACCACATTTGTTACATTCATAGGGCTTCTCTCCTGTGTGACTGATCTGATGTCTAAGGAGATGAGACTTCTTGATGAATGCTTTGCCACATTTAATACATCCATAGGGTTTCTCCCCTGTATGAATTCTTTGATGGGTAACAAGCACTGATGTGTTTCCGAAAGCTTTGCCACATACAATACATTGGTAGGGTTTCTCGCCTGTATGAAATCTAGAATGTTTACAAAGAGATGAACTATACTTGAAGGTTTTCCCACATTCCTTACATTCAAATGAATTTTCCTGTGTATGAGATTTCGCATGTTGATTAAAAGAAGAGTTCCAAGTGAACGTTTTTCCACACTCACTGCATTCATAGGGTTTCTCTCCAGTATGAAGTCTCTGGTGGATCACAAGTTGAAATTTACGCATAAAAGCTTTCCCACAATCATTGCACACAAAAGGTCTCTCTTCATTATGAATTTTCTGACGAGCTTCAAAGTGTGTCTTCCTGCTATAGTCTTTTCCGCTGTCATTACATTCAAAGGCTTTTATTCCTGCATGATTTTTTTCATGTCTAATGACATCAAACTTCTTTTTGAAGGCTTTCCCACATTCATTGCATTCATAAGTGTTTTCTCCAGTATAACTACTACTATAATTAAGTAAGTCCAAATTAGGTTGCAAACTCTTCTCATAGGATTTATAATGATATGATTTTCGTATCATAGGATTAATACTTGTGTTCATATTATAATGGTGGAGTCTCTCCATATTTGGAATTTCATTGACTGTGAATGAAACTAACTTCAAAAAGTTTTCTTTGCTTTCCTGGTGTTTCTCTGGTTTCTCAACAAGTAGGCAGTCAGCTTCTAAAAAGAGTACAATAAAACATTCCTAGTTAGTTTTTTCCACCAATTATATTAAAGAAAAATGATTCTGTGATTTCAAGTCTAGTCTCCCATTCTGAAATAAATCCTTTATTTTTCTTGCTCCTGAGGTCTAAAAATAAAACTACTGAAAAGGAAATTAGAGCAAATGACAATAATGAAAAAAAAAAGGCTTAACTTGTGACCTACAGAGTGACAGTAATATAGCCACATGGTACATGTTGTTGTTGTTAAGTGCCATCAAGTCGGTTCCGACCCATAGTGACCCTGTATAAGGTTTCCAAGGAGTGGCTGGTGAACTTGAACCACCGACCTTGTGGTTCAAACCGACTTTGCAATCCAGTGCATTAACCCACAGCGCCACACCAGTAGGGTACATAGAAAGTCAAAAGGTTGCTCAATAATGCTGCAGGGTTAGCTAACAGCAAGAGGAGAGCCTATTTTAGAGACCTAGAGCCTATCTTAAGGTACAGGATAATTAGAAGAACATGAGACAAGGGAGTTAAGGGAAAATATTGGGGAGGGGGGGCAGAGAGTTTGGATGAGGGAGATCGCTCTTCACTACCGAATTCCTAAGTTATCCCTATTTTCCTCAGTCACATCTCTTTTTCCCCTTAATCATTTAGCACAGCATCAGTTCACTTGAGGAGAAAGCCGGTATCTCCAGGCTTCTCACCCAATCCAATCCACAATTGAGGCATATGTATAGACAAGACTCCAATTCTGCTTACAGCTAGCATTCATTCTTTCAGGTACTTCTAAGTCAAGGAGCACAAATGTCCAGCAACTCATTAACAGGCAAGTCATTCTTAGTGCAGGTACATATTGTCTGCTTACTGTCATTTTACTCTAAGTTTATGTATGAGTGTACTTTAACAAGTACTGATTTCACATCCTCTTTCATGCAAACAAACAAGTCCCCAAAAAGCTGCTTTGCTCCTGATGTCATAATCTTTCACTCCTATTCTCAAATCCCTACAAATTTCAAATCCATTGCTCGATTTACAAAAGGTTGAGCGAAGGGTGTTATCATCCCACACCCCTGAGGTTCTTTTCATGTAGTGTGTTGGGACAACATGGCTAGAGTCTTATCCCAGGCCTTCTTCATCTCTGTGGAGCAGGACTGAGTGGTAGGCTGTAGTTATTAGCATATACTTATTTACAGAGTTGTTTGGTCTAAGTATGAAGATGTAGTTCCTTTCTCATTTCCTCTCTACTTCAACCAGTGGGAATTAGTGCCTAGTGTAATCTCTATCAGTGGTAGCCAACTGAAAAACCCAGAGTAAGCATTCTGGTAAACAAAACTACACCAGATATTAACCCATGTATATAAACACGTACTTGTCATTAGCTCTTAACAAGTATTTTCCTGTTCCAGGAATTCTAGACTCCTAAATAATTTCAATCTCTAGTTCATATTCTTTCTCACCTTAACTTGCCCTCTTTCATTTCCTCGCATCCTATCTAGTACCTTAGAGAGGAGCCATTATTCCATGATCTTAAAAAACACACCAAACTTCACCAATCTTTGCATACTTTAAATTTTAAACTTCACTTTCTCTGCTCTCCTAAAACAGGCACTGCTATTATAGCATTCATTTTGACAATCAGAACAAAATTGCGATGTTAATGTGCATTGAATGTTTCATACTCATCCAGTTTTATATGTCTATATGCCTTTCCAACTACAACTTACACACACATGAAAATACTATAATTTTGTTGAATGGATGAATAAGAAACTTCTCTACAATGTCTGGCTCTACAAAGTGAACTGATGAGATAAGCACTGGACCGTTAACGACAAAGTCAGTGGTTCAAACCCACCAGCTGCACCTTGGAAATCCTATACAGGGTTGCGCTGGGTCAACACCAACTTAAAGGGAGTTAACAACAACAATGTGCTTTAGTAATAGTATAAAAGACAAAATGTTACAGGGCTTTCTCTTCAGGGCATTATCACAACAAACGTGCCTTAAAAGCTACATAGATTTTTTAAAAACCAAAGATAGTATTTGTCAAGTTTCTAAGAATGAGCCACAGTAGAAATTGGATAGACACTCTTAAGGTAGAGCTTAACCTAGAACAGAGTTACCAGGGGCCGGATTGAATTGTGTGCCCCCACAATATGTGTCACCTTGGTTGGGCCACGATTCTCAGTGGTTTGGTAGTTAGGTAATGATGTAATTATCACTATAGGTGATCTGAAGTGATAGGACAATCAGTTGTAAGAGGACCGGGGCAGAAAGCAACACCCTACTCATGTCACAACCTTAAATCATGTAAGGAGAGTTTCTCTGTGACTTGGCAAAATAATTGGCCCACATAATCCAAACATCTTACTGCACTTTTAAGGATGAACTGTATAGCAAAAGAACTATCAAAATAATTTGCCCACATAATCCAAATATCTTACTGCACTTTAAGGATGAACTATATAGAAAATGAACTATGATTATATTTAGTAAGGAAGTATCTTTGTTATCTTGTTGCTACTGTTAAGTGCTGTTGAGTTGGTTCTGACTTATAGCAACCCTGTACAGGGTTTCCAAGGAGTAGCTGGTGAGTTTGAACCGCTGACCTTGTGGTTCAAACCAACCTTGCAGTCCAGTGCTTTATCCCACAGCGCCACACCTAGTGCTGATATAATAGACATACTACAAATGGATGGTTTTGATTAAAAAAATTATTTTTTCTCAATTTAGGAGCTTACAAGTCAGAATTTGGGTGGTGGGGGGGATGGTGTCAGATCTCAGGAAAGGCTTTCTCTCTCCAGACTGGACAAAGGTCCTTGGTTGTTAGCTTCTTGGTACCTTGGAGCTCTCCATGTATCTTGGCTATCTTATGCTATCTCTGTTTCTCATACTCACCTGATTAATCTCTTCTGTATCTCAAAAGAGATGGACTCAAGATATACTCTAATCTTGTCTCATTAACATAACCAAGACTACCCATTCCCAAATGGGATTATAACCACAGGCATAGAATTTAGGAATTAAAACACACAGTTTTAGGGACAGAATTCAATACACAAAAGGAAGTAAAGTAAGGATTTTAGGAATTAGGAGAACAGAGAACAAAGCCCAAGCCTAGATAAAGCAGGCATGGTGAGGATCCAGAGTATAGAGGAGAAGGATAACCCTTCACAAAGACTGAGCAAGGAGAAAGAGCACCTGTTTGGGGAGAGTGGAAGCAATGCTGCCATTTGGGGATGCAATGTGTCATGTCAAGCATACACAGTCATTTCCCAAGGTCTGTGGCTTAGAGGTGCTTCCTGGAAAGCCTTGCAAAGATGTCTGTCCTTCACTCATCAATGGCAACCTCAGTTCCAAAGGCTCTAATCAACCTAGTTTTCTGTCACTTACCTGGATAGCTCAAATGTGGATCCTCTCCCTCCTCCATCCATGGCTTTTTTCCTTGTTTCAACTTCAAGATCCCTTTTGGACTGGTAACTGGACATCCTGTTTATAGTAAGCAACACAAAACTGAAGACAAAGTGCCAAAGACAAACAGCTTCCTCATAATTCATGTGTACCTCCTTGAGTTTTAGGGCTTTACAGGATGACTGATGGAATTTAGAACAGAAAAGACCCTTCTCCACTTGGGAGAGAGAAGCATAAACAAGTTCTCTGACCCCAAAGAGATTAAGAGTCACCAATGAAGTTCAGGACCAAACATTTTCTTTAATGACAGAGTTTTGTCTTTTTCCTACCTTTTCTAAACTTGGACCACAGTCCTTTCTCCTGATAATTTACAAAGGACCTTTCATTTCCTCCTAGGTGGGAACTTCTCTTTTTCCTAGGTTGGAATTGGTGGAGGTAGTGAATCCTAGTTCTGAAGGTTCCTGTGAGATTCTGGAAGAAGTTTTAAAACAACTAGGTATTACCACTCTTACTCCTCCTATTCTATATTTCCCATACTCTCTACTTCCTCCTAAAGTCATTGAGAAGCTCTGGTTGTTTAGCTTTATTGTTAATCTTCCTGCATTCCACACCCTTCCCCTACAAAAAAGAGACTCATAGAAATCAGGCCAGATCCAACTAGTCAAGCTATCCAGAAGGGCTTGTTGTTGTTAAGTGCTGTAGAGTCGGTTCCGACTCATAGCAAAGCGACCTTGTATTGGGTTTCCAAGTATCAAAAGAACTTAAATGAAGGTGATCTCAGTTATAAATCTGAAAGTCAACATCCTGGAGAGTAGATCTTTTAAACAGCCACACTTGGACTGTAAGGTTGGTTTGAACAGCCAAGTCAGTGGTTCAAACCCACTAAACACTGCGTGAAGACACTATACAGGGTTGCTAAAAGTTGGAACCAACTCTGTAACAACAACACTCTTATACTAAGGATCCCTGGTAACACAGTGGATTATGAACTGGGATGCTAACCGCAAGGTCAGTAATTCAAATCTACCAGTAGCTCCACAGGAGAAAGATAAGGCTTTCTGCTCTTGTAAAGATTTACAGTCTCACAGAGCCTATACAGGGTCGCTAAAAGTTGGAATCGACGCCATGGCACACAACCATCACCACCACCACCCCTATACTATGCAACTTGTAGCAGGTTACCTTCAGTAAAAAGGAAGCTATAGCACAGACTCAAGTATTACAGCCTTCATTCTGTTTATTTGATTTTGCTCTGCTTCCTGTCAGCTCATTCTTGTGCTTCTTTTTCACTCTGGCCTTATACATGAATGGACTTATGCATAGGGACTTTGGACTATAAAACTCTAGATCTGAATTATGGCTATTCCACTCACAAGTGTGACCTTGAGCAAATTTTCTTTACTTTCTGAGCCTTAGTTTTTCAACTATAAGATGCAAATAATAACATTTATGTCCATAATTGTGGAGTCCTGGTATAGCACTGGACAGCAAGGTCGGTTTGAACTGTAAGGTCAGCAGTTCAAACCCACTACTCCCTTCTCAGAGACCTTATATAGGGTCACTGTAGGCCAGAACCCACCTGACTACGCTCAATACCACCACCTCCATATTGAGTGGATTAACAGATATAAGATATATATGTATGTGAGAGTCATGGACAGTACTAATGGATCCTGCCTGCAAAGGACTCTAGGAGAGAACAAGCGTATCTAATTGTGTGGTGTCCTGGGCCAGGAAAAAAACAGACCAAATCAGATTCTACGGTAATGCCAGCTGGAACCCAGTAACAAGCACACACAACCCCATTCACCATGTATAGGCATGGCTGCATTCCTAATCCCCCTGTGTGTATCCTTGCACATAAGCATATCCTGTACTACCCGCACAAACATCTGCCAGCATGAGGTTTGGCACTTCAGCTGTCTAGTCCAAGGATCTTGGGCCCGACCTCTGTCTGTAAGTTCTCAAATAAAGCTAGATGGGATCAATCTGGCTTTCTCTGCCTCTTTTGTTCAGAATCCAACCAGTGCCCCTCAGAGCCACGTCTGCTGCTGGTCTGGACGAATGCAACAAAACAGTACCAGGCATAGAGCAGACGCTCACTCAGTACACAGTGGCTGCTATTCCATCCTCAGATCAAATGACTTATTGTGGCACCTGTTCCACATATATAAGGTAGACTGATCATGGTCAAATCAAAGTCCAAAGGAAAATTCATACGTTGCTATTTGTATTTGAATCGAGGCACTACTTTTATTTTCCTTAGAACAGTTCCCTCCAGAACAATGTGAAGGGAATTCTCCCTCAGCCAGAGCAAGTAGGTTTTTCCTATGGCGGGGACTAGGGTCAAACTTATTAACTCTTCAGAATGTTCACAACTTTCAGAAGTCCTAAGAAAGGAATAGTAGTGGATTGTGAATTACATGAAAGAAATGACCCATTGTCCTTACCCACTGAGAGGAGGTTTCTACAGTTCTCTAACATCACACTCCCATACAGCTTCCTCTGAGCATAATTAAGCAGCTGCCACTCTTCTGGAGTGAAGTCCACGGCCACATCCTGGAATGTCACTGATCCCTGTAACAGCACATGCATCTTAAAACTCAAGTGTGCATTATTATCATGTTCATTGCCGAGTCAGCAGAAAGTTGCTTATTAATGTAAATTTGATTCAGAAATACACTTTGTGATACAGACAAAAATATGACATTAAAAATATCCAACCAGTGTCAAGACAAAGTGAATGGGAGAAAAAATCGTCTTTACAACATCTAGTGCTAGGACAAGTGTATATTCACATGCAGAAGAATGGATTTGAATCCTTACCTCACACTATTTGTTGTCTAGTGCTGTGGAGTCAGTTCAGACTCACAGCAACTCTGTATAGGGTTTTCCAGGAGCGGCTGATGAGCTGGAACTATCGACCTTGATTCAAACCGACACTGCAGTTCAGCCCATTAACCCACAACGCCACTACCTCACATTACATATAAAAATTAACAAAAAATGTACCAGAATAAACATAAAACTAAAACAATAAAACTCTTAGAAAAATCCGTAAGAATAAATCTCTGTGGGCTTGGATTAGGCCAATGGTTTCTTAACTATAACAGAAAACCCAGAAATGACAAGAAAAAAAAAAGAGAGAGATAAATTGGGCGTCAAAACAGTTAAACTTCTGTTCTTTAAAAGGGACCATCAAGAAAATGAAAGACAATTCACAGAGTGGAAGATATAGTTGTAATGCACATATCTGATAAGAGACTTGTATCTAGAATATATAAAGAGCAAGGGTAATGGGTTTGCTTTTTGGTTAACAACTGAATGATAAAAGGCAAACAACCTAGTTTTAAACTGTGAAAGAATCTGAATAGACATGTAAATATACAACTATGCTCAACATCATTAGTTACTCGTAAACCACAATGAAACCTACTACTCCATGGATGTGTCTCTCATGGACTGTGTCAGTTCCTTCCGCTGCTGCCTGAACCTGCATATGAGCAATTGATGGTCTGGTCCACAGTCTAGCTAATTTCAGAATGTTTTCATCACCCCCAAAAGAAAGCCCATACCCATTAGCAGTCACTTCTCATCTTCTCCTAATCACAGTATAAGATATATACTTTCATTTATGGCTAAAATAAAAGAGACAAGAACAAGTCTTGACAAGTGTGGAAACACTGGAACTCTTCCACACCTCTAGTGGGATTGTGAAATGGTGCAGCCACTTTGAAAACAGTTTGATAGTCCTTTAAAATGTTAAACATGGAGTTACCATGTTGTTGTTAAGTGCCGTCAAGTCAGTTTCAACTCATAGCAACCATGTACAGGGTTTCCAGGGAATAGATTGTGGACTTGAATCATCAACTTTGTGGTTCAAACAGACCTTAGGGTCGAGTGCTTATCCTACAGTGCTATATAGCAAGACTCGAGAATTACCATATATATATATACTCAAGAGCATTGAAAAGCACACACATACACACACAAAAAAAACCTGTACATAAATGTTCATAACAGAATTATTCATAGCCAAAAAGTAGAAACAACCTTGAGTGTCCATAAACCAAAAAACAGATAAAATGTGGTATTATCTATACAATGAAATACTAGGCAATAAAAAGCAATTAAGATAAAAGTTGAGAATAAACTTTAAAGTGGGGGATTAAAGAAGCTAACCACATAAGACCACATACTGTATGATTCCATTTGTATGAAATGCCCAGAATAGGCAAACCCACAGAAACAAAAATAGATTAGGACTGTGATTAGTAAAGAATGGGAAGTGATGGCTAATGGGTATGGTGTTTCTTTTTGGGGTGATGAAAGCATTCTGAAATTAGTCAGACTGTGGAACTGACCATTAATTGCTCATATGCAAATTCAGGCAGAAGCTGAAGAAAACTGAAACTTGTCCATGAGAGCCAAAATACAACTTTGAACAAATCCCACCTGAATTTTGAGACCATCTCAAAAACAAATTTGATGCATTAAACATGAATGACCAGAGACCAAAAGAGCTGTGGGGTGCTATTAAGAACATCATACAGGAAGAAAAAGGTCATTAAAAGACAGGAAAGAATGAAAAGATAAAAATGGATGTCAGAAGAGACTCTGAAATTTGTTCTCCAGAGATGCTAAACAAAAAAAACGAATAGGCAAAAGAACGGAAAAGTACATTTTAAAGGGCAGCTCAAAAAGACAAAGTCACGTATAATGAAACATACAAAGATGTGATGTTAGAACCAAAAAGGAAGAACAAACTCAGGCATTTCTCAAGGTAAAAGACCTGAAGTAAAAATTCAAGCCCTGACTTGCAATATTGCAAGATTCCATGAGAAAGCATATTGAATGATGTAGAAAGCATCAAAAGAAGATAGAAGGCATACAGAGTCACTGTACTGAAAAGAAATGGTCAATGTTTAACCATTTTAAGAGGTAGCATATGGGCAAGAACCAATCATACTGATGGAAGAAATCCAAGCTGCACTGAAGGCACAGGCACAAAACAAGGTTCCAGGGATTGACAGAATACAAATTGTAATATTTCAATAAACTGATACAGCACTGGAGGCACTCACTCATCTATGTCAAGAGATTTAGAAGACACCTACCTGGCTAAACAATTAAAAGAGATACATATTTGTGCCCATTCCAAGGAGAGGTGACCCAATGGAATGCAGAAATCATCTAACAATAATTAATAATATCACATGTGAGTAAAATTTTGCTGAAGATAACTAAAAATGACTGCAAAAGTACATCTACAGAGAACTACCAGAAATTCAAGCTGGATTCAGAACAGGACACAGAACTAGGAAGATCATCGGTGACGTCAGATGGATATTGGCTGGAAGCAGAAAATACCAGAAAGATGTTTACTTATACTTTATTGACTATGCAAAGGCTTTAGATTGTGTGGATCATGACATTGCAAAGAATGAGTATTCCAGAACACTTAATTGAGGAACCTATACACAGACCAAGAAGCAGTCTTTTGAACAGTATAAGGGGATACTGAATGGTTTAAAGTCAGGAACATGTGAGCCTGGTTTGTATTCTTTCACCACACTTACAAATAATCTGAGACATTGGATTATAGGAAGAACATGGCATCAGGATTGGAGGAACTCATTAACAACCTGTGATATGCAGATATACAACCTTGCTTGCTAAATGTGAAGAGGTCTTAAAATACTAATGAAGATCAAAGACTACAGCCTTTAGTATGGATTTCAGCTCAACATAAAATTTAAGATTCACATGAAAGAGAAAATGCTCAAGAATAGTTTACAATTTGAAAAAAAGGTGTAATATTTACTTGGGGAGCCAAGTGGACATTAAAAAGGCTAGGTTCCTGGTTCAAACAAATTGAGTTTATTTATTGAGTGCTTCTTGGCATTGTGTTTTCTGCTTATTCCTACAAAGTCATAGGAAATGTTATACCACAGGGTTATCACTGTGAATATTGTTTCTAATATTATCCTATATAAAAACCCATCAGAAGATACTGTCTTCAGAGAAATTATTTTGCTTTACTTCATGTACAATGCCATGGGTTTGGGAATCCATGTGACATGATTGTCAGGAAGACTGAGTACACACCTGCAGCTCAATTTATTCAGCTATGTGCTGACCTGATCTCAACTAATCAATTTTTTAAATTTCCTATTGGACTTCCTTTTCTTGTCAGTCTATATTTCATTTTCAATTACATGAATTTTAGGGAGATTTAACTACCTTACCTGAAAGTTGATCATTTTCTGCAGCTCCTGACTGGAAATCTGTGAAAGTAGAAATGCAAAGAAATGAGAAACCAGGATTGAAATGTGGAACCCTGCTTTACTGGACCAGAAGTATCCACACTGCAGTCTCAGAAAATGCTACTTAGAGGGAGAGCGACCTTTCAATAGGCCAGAAAAGTTCATATTCTTTAAGTATCAATCTTTCCCTGATTCCATTAAGAATATATGGAACTTGAACAAGGATACTGTATATTTCTATTCTATTGAACTAACTGGGAACTTTTGAACCAGTGATTTTCTTTATCTCTTAGAAATTTTATCCCAAAGAAATAATGAATAAAGTTAAAGATGAAAGAAAAGCTTGTTCTCAGTAGCCCTAATAATTATTTATTCTTGTGATTCCCTGATTTTCAGCACAAACCCAATTTAAGCTTTTTGGAATTCTAACCAGCACTGCTGATACCCTATTATTATTTTTGTTGTTAAATGCTGTAGAGTACCTTCCAACTCATAGAGACCCTGTATAGGACCTTGGAGAAGTGGCTGGTGAGCTTGAACCACCGACCTTGCTGTTCAAACCGACCTTGCAAAGTCCAGTGTATTGCCCTGCAGCGCCACACCAGGACTCCTAGAAATGTTAAAATGTGCAGGAGGGGCTCACAGCATCAGCTGTCTTCACTGGAATATATGCAGATACACCAAAAGACCCACAAAAAAAGATGACTACTATCTGAAAAGTACTCAGCATTCACTGCTCAAATATTTCAAAATAAGTATAAATCCAACTCTGAGAAAATTCTTCTGAATTTGAATCTCAGCTCTTCCCTTAACACAAGCTGTGTTAGTGTAGATAAATAACATCAGCTCTGTAGCGTTTCAATAAGTTCATATGAAAAATGGTAATTAACATTTACTTCAAATGAGTGTTGTGAGAGCAGCGTAAGAAAAGCGTGTTCCTCTCAAAAGGGTTTCTTCCCGGCTCCTTTGAAATGATGAAAAATTTGCCTGTAGGAGGCTCCCGTCGGGTCATGGATGCGCTTAAACTAGGAAAGATACAGTAGAGATGAATAGACTCCTACACTGTGACCTTTATAAGCAAGGACAAGAATACAAACAAGCCTGCTCTAGCCCCACCTGGTTTAGGGGTACTTGCCCAATGAGAGTTGGAGGCCTGCTCGTGTTTTCTCTTAAATATTGCAAATTTGGGTGCACCCACAAAGTCGGAGTCCTGGGGTGGCGCTGTGGGTTAATGTGTTAGACTGCAAGGCTGGCTTGAACAGCATAGTTAGCAGGTCAAGCTCACCAGCCGCTCCTCAGAAACCCTATCGAGGGTCTCTGGGAATCGGAAACACCTCGACTGCACTTAACAACAGTCATACACAAAGTCACCACACGTGGGCGTATCAAGTTTTATCTTCGGCCAATTATATCCACTAGCCAGTCTCCGCCTTTCTCCCCTCACTGCCCTTCAGTCCAAGTCCCGCAGATTCATACCTGCCACTTTTCCACCTTCCAAATCCCAGTTCCGCACTAAGGCCTAGATAAAGTATCGGTCGTCCAGAGACTACATGAGCATCTCTGCACTCTGCAAAAACACCAAACTGAAGACTGCAAAATGCCGGCTATCGTTTCATTGCGCGTGTGCAGAAGTCACTGCTCACCCCGAGTGCCCAGGTTCCTTCCGGATGCAGACCATGTATCGAGGACTACATTTCCCATCAGACCGGTGGAGCTGGCTGGTTGACAGTGTCAAAAGTTCCTAGTATCTCTGGAGCTGCACTGAGAGTGGCACTGTTTTTTTTTTTTTAAAGGGCTGTTGTTGTTACAAGCGATCTAGTCGATTCCGACCCATAGCGACCCTGTATAGGGTTTCCAAAAAGCAGCTGGTGAGCATGAACCACCGACCTTGCAGTGCAAACGGCTTTGTAATCTGAAGCAATAGCCCACAGAGCCACACCAGGACTCCTTAAAAGGGGAGTAGAGCCCAGGAAACATCAAAGCGAAGTGGTCGGGTCCCCTCAGTGCAAACCCCCTTCCAAGACTAAGACTCAATGGGAGTACACGCTGTGATTGGTGACCACCAATAAGGGGAAGGGAGGGAAAAACAGCAATGAAGTGGTGAGCTAAGCCCTACAACGTTCAATAGACTTCTGTGAACCGGGATGAAGACCTGGTTGGCCAGCAGTGTGGCACGACTTGGGGACTCTTGGGCCCAGACTCAGTGACATACCCACAGAGGACTAGAGTGGAGAGTGAAACGTCCAGCTGATAAGAAGAGAGGGCATATGCATAAGAACACCCACACTTGCAGATAATACTCACTTATCCTGGTTTCAGTGACTGGATGATCAGAGCTCAACCAGAAGTAAAAAGAAGAGGGGGAAAAAACAAACAAACAGTATTCTCATACAATTTGATGAACTTGACCTACACCTATGGAAGCAGTAGCTCAAAAGAGGGAACAAGTCCTTACAGCAAGAATCATTCCCACCCCCTCCACACACAGAGTAGACAGGGATGGGCAACTT